AAGAAATCAAAGAGGAAGTAAAACACACATGGAAACAAATGAAAATGAAAAAACAATAATCCATTATCTCTGGGATACAGCAAAAGCTGTTCTAGGGGGGAAATTTATAGCACTACAGGCCTACCTTAAACAAGAAAAACCTTGAATAAACAATCTAACCTTATTCCTAAAGGAACTAGAAAAAGACAACACACAAAGCCAAAGCCTAAAGCTAGTAAAAGGAAGAAGATAAAAAAGACCAGAAGGGAAATAAATGAATACACGCTTAAAAAAAAAAAAACAGGGGCGCCTGGGTGGCGCAGTCAGTTAAGCGTCCGACTTCAGCCAGGTCACGATCTCGCGGTCCGTGAGTTCGAGCCCCGCGTCGGGCTCTGGGCTGATGGCTCAGAGCCTGGAGCCTGTTTCCGATTCTGTGTCTCCCTCTCTCTCTGCCCCTCCCCCGTTCATGCTCTGTCTCTCTCTGTCCCAAAAATAAATAAACGTTGAAAAAAAAAAAAAATTTAAAAAATAAAAAAAATTAAAAAAAAAAAACAGAAAAGATCAATAAAGCCAAGAGATGGTTCTTTGAAAAGATATATAAATCTGATAAACTTTTAGCCTGACTCATCAAGAGAAAAAGGGAGGACTCAAATAAATAAAACCAGAAATAAAAAAAAAGTTAACAGACACCACAGAAATACAAATAATTGTAAGAGACTACAAAAAATTGTACGCCAAAATATCAGACGACTTAGAAGAAATGACTAAGTTCCTAGAAACATAATTTTCCTAAACTGAATCAGGAAGAAACAGAGAATCTGAACAAACCAATTACTAGTAACAAAATTGAATTAGTAATCAAAAAACTCAACAAACAAAAGTTCAGGACCAGATGGATTTACAGATGAATTCTACCAAACATTTATTTTTTTTAATGTTTATTTATTTCTTTTGAGAGTGAGCATGCATGCACATGCACAAGTTGGGGAAGGGCAGAGAGAGAAAACCCCAAGCAGGCTATGTGCTATCAGTGCAAAGCCTGACGCAGGGCTCAATCTCACCAACCATGAGGTCATGACTTGAGCCAAAATCAAGAGACAGATATTTAACTGACTGAGCCACCAGGCACCCCTGAATTCCACCAAACATTTAAAGAAAAGTTAATACCTAGTCTCCTCAAACTGTGCTAAAACAGAAGAGGAAGGAAAGCTTCCAAATACATTCTACAAGGCCAGCAAAACCAAAGCACTACAGAAAGAAAACCGTAGGCCAATATTCCTGATGAACACAGATACAAAGAGCCCTCAACACAACAGTAGTATACCATATTAAACAGTACATTAAAAGGATTATTTACCACAATCAAATGGGATTTATTCTGGGGATGCAAGGATGGTTCACTGTCTGCAAACCAATCAACATGATACACATTAATAAAATAAAGGATAAAAAATCATATCATCTCAATAGATGCAGAAAAAGCATTTTATAAAATTTAACATCCATTCATGATAAAAATTCTCAACTAAGTGGGTTTAGAGGGAACATACCTCACCACAATAAAGCCTATATATAGCAAACACACACCTAATATCACCCTCAATGGTGAAAAATTGAGTTTTTTCTCTAAGATTAGAAACAAGACAAAGATGTCCACTCTCATCAGTTTTATTCAACATAGTACTTGGAAGTCCTAGCCACAACAAGCAGACAAAAAGAAATAAAAGGCATCCAAATTGGTAAGGAAACCATAAAACTGTCACTGTTTGCAGATGACATGATACTATACATAGAAAACCCTAAATACTCCACCAAAAACTACTAGAAGTACTAAATGAACTCAGGAAAGTTACAGGATGCAAAATTAATATACAGAAATCTGTTGCATTATATTACAACTAATAATAACAAAGTAGCAGAAGGAGAAATTAAGAAAATAATTTTATTTGATGCACCCTGGGTGGCTTAGTCAGTTAAGTGTCCAACCCTTGATTTTGGCTCAAGGCATGATCTCACAGTTCTTAAGTTCAAGCCCTGTGTCAGGCTCTGCACTGACAGTGTGGAGCCTGCGTAGGATTCTCTCTCTCTCCTTGTCTCTCTGCCCCTCCCCCACCCCCAATGTGTCTCTCTCTCTCTCTCTCAAATAAATAAAACTGAAAAAAAATGTTTAAAAAGAAAACAAATCCATTTATAGTTACACCAAAAAGAATACTTGGGAATAAATTTAAGCAAGGAGGTAAAAGACCTGTACTCTGAAAATTATAAAACAATGATCAAAGATATTGAAGATGACACAAACAATGGAAAGATACACCATACTCACGGACTGAAAGAACCAATAGTGTTAAAATGTACATACTAACCAAACCAATTTACAGATTCAATGCAATCCCTATCAACATACCAACAGCATTTTTCACACAACTAGAACAAATAATCCTAAAATTTGTATGGAACCATAAAAGAACCTAAATAGGCAAAGCAATCTTGAGAAAGAACAGAGATGGGGGTATCACAATCCCAGATTTCAAAACATATTACAAAGCTATAATAATCAAAACAGTACGGGACTGAGACAAAAATAGATCCATGGAGCAGAATAGAGCCCAGAAACAAACCCATGCTTATATGGTCAATTAGTCTATGACAAAGGAGGCAAAAACACACAATGGGGGAAGACAGTCTCTTCAATAAATGGTGCTGGGAAAACTGGACAGCTACATGAAAAATAAGAAACTGGACCACTTTCTGACACCATACACAAAAATAAACCCTAAGTGGGGTGCCTGGCTGGCTCAACTGGTAGAGCATACTATGCCTGATCTTGGGGTTATGAGTTCAAGCCCCATATTGGCTGTAGAGCTTACTTTAAAAATTAATTAATTAAAAAGTGATAAACTCAAAATGGATTAAAGACTTAAATGGGAGATCTGAAACCATACAACTAAAAGAAAACACAAGGAAGTAATCTCTTTGACATCAGACTCAGAAACATTTTTCTACATATGTCTCTTATAGTGAGGGAAACAAAATAAAAAATATTAGGACTACATCAAAATAAAAAGCTTTTATACAGCAAAGGAAATCATCAAAAAAATGAAAAGGCAACCTAACGATTGGAAAAGATATTTGCAAACAGTATACCTGATAAAGTGTTAGTATCCAAATTATATAACAACCCCAAAACTTCCCCAAGTAATCCAATTAAAAATGGGCAGAGGACATGAACAGATACTTTTCCAATGACATGGAGATAGCCAACAGACCCATGAAAAGATGCTCAACATCACTAATTATCGGGGAAATGCAAATCAAAACCACAATGAGATATCACCTTATACCTGTTAGAATGACTACTATCAAAAATACAAGAAATAACAAGTATTGGCAAGGATGTGGAGAAAAAGGAACCCTTGTGCACTGTTGGTCAGAATAAATTATACAGCCATTGTAGTAAACAGTATGCAGTTTCCTCAAAAAACTAAAAATAGAAAAACCCTATGATCCAGTAATCCTACTAGTATTTACCCAAAGAAAATGAAAACACTAATTCAATGGGGTGCCTGAGTGCCTCAGCTGGTTAAGTCAGACTCTTGATTTCAGCTCAGGTCATGATCTAATGGTTCATGAAATCAAGCCCTGCAGCAGGCTCTGCGCTGCCAGCACAGAGCCTGCTTCGGATTCTCTCTCCTTCTCTCTCTGCCCTTCCCCAGCTCACACACAGTATGCTCTGTCTCTAAATAAATAAATAAACATTAAAAAAAATTACCACTAATTTGAAAAGATTTACATACCCTTATGTTCATTGCAGCATTATTTATAAAACTGAAGATATGTAAGCAACCTAAATGTCCATTGATAAATGAACAAAGATGTGGTGAGTGTGTGTATATCCATACATACACATACACACACACACACACACACACACACACACACACACACACAAATGGAATATTACTTAGCCATAAAAAAAGAATGAGATCTTGCCATTTGTGACAACATAGATGGACCTAGAGGATATTATGCTAAGTGAAATAAGTCAGACAAAGAAAGTGTATGATTTAAGTTATACAGCATCTAAAAAACAAATGAACAACAACAAAAAAAACCCAGAAACAGACCCAGAGAACTGGTGGTTGTCAGAGGGGTGGGGTGGGGATGAGAGAAAGGCAAAATAAATGAAGAGGAATGGCAGATACAGGCTTCTACTAATGTAATGAACATGGGAATAAAAACAGATAAAATGTACAGCATAGAGAATATAGTCAATGGTATTGTAATAGCTGTGCAGGCTGACAGATGGTATCTATACTTGTGGTGAGCATAGCATAATGTATACAGTTGTTGAATCACTGTTATACACCTAAAACTAATGTAATATTGTATGTCAACTATACTTTAATCAAAAAACAATAATACAGGGGCGCCTGGGTGGTGCACTCGGTTGAGCGTCCGACTTCAGCCAGGTCACGATCTCGCGATCCGGGAGTTCGAGCCCCGCGTCAGGCTCTGGGCTGATGGCTCAGAGCCTGGAGCCTGTTTCCGATTCTGTGTCTCCCTCTCTCTCTGCCCCTCCCCCGTTCATGCTCTGTCTCTCTCTGTCCCAAAAATAAATAAACGTTGAAAAAAAAATTTAATAAAAAAAAACCAATAATACAAAATAAAATATTTTTGCAAAGATTAAAAAATAATTAAGAGCAAATACGTGCCTGGCTGGATCATCTAACCACTTTATCTAAATTAAATCATTTAACCCTCATGACAATCCTATTAGGTAGGCACTATTACTATCCCATTTCACAACTAAGAAAATTGAGGCACAAAGAAGTTAAAAAAACTTCCAAGGTCATACAAGTAGTAACAGATGGTCTGGGATTCAAACTTAAGCAGTGCAGTTCTAAAATTCCTACTCTGTACCACTTCACCCATTCTGATTGGTATAATAATCATTCATGTGTCATTTCATAAAGAATCCAGAATATTATCTCAAGCCAACATGTAAACACATTAACATTTACCTCTTCAAAAATAGCCCTTGAAAAATCCCCACAGCGTAATGTGCCATCATAGCTCAGTGAGAGTATGTGAGCCGGATTGGCAGGTGAGAAGTAAAGACAGCTAACTGGCTGACTGTGGGGTTGAAAAACATAAATTCCATCTTCTTCAGATTGGTGAGTCTGGAAGAGAGTTGAGGGCAGGGAGATAGACAAAAACTAGTGAAAAGTAGCAACACTTTCTGTCATTAAACTATTTATGTTTGTATTACATTCAGTCTTTTCTTAGTCTATAATTATACCCACCCTCCCATTCAGGAAGTCAGAACTAACAATGTCATATCATCACTAAATTACTTTTTTCTAATTTTTAATCCAACGATATTGTCACATTTATTTTAACCGTTTCCAGCTTTTGCAAACTACTTTTTCATAATGCAGAAGGGAAAAGAATTATAGTTTATTATGACTTTAGTTCATGAAATCTCAAGAAATGAGATATCTACTCTTTATTTCACATTCAGCATAATTTCCTTCTACTAAAAACAGTATAACTACCATTACTACTTTGTCTCCTCAGTACGCTTCTATATATCATTCTCAGCACAATTTTCAAAAGGTTATTTGGTCCTGGCACAAAGTGATAATTTTAAAAATACATTATCCCCTAAATACACCATGAAAATGCATGTATTTCAATTCCACACTAATATTATTACTACTGGGGCTCCTGGGTAGCTCCATCAGTTGAACATCTGACTCTTGATTTAGGCTCAGGTCATGATCCCAGGGTCATGGGATCGAGCGCCACGTGGAACCCTGTGCTAAGTGTGGAGCCTGCTTAAGATTCTCTCTCTGTCTGTCTCTCTCTCTCCCTCTGCCCCTCTCCCTGCTTGCACTCTCTCTCTCTCTCTCTCAAAAAAAAAAAAGTAATATTATTACTACTTCTAGGGATTATCCTTTTCACAGGTGGATTACCAACTACTAAATCATCACTTCTCAGATCTGGATAAATTATGTTACTATGCCATATGTCATAGTACGAACCAGAGCAACTATCCTCTCCAAATTTGGCTTAATCTGCTCTGAAATATTCAGGCATTTTTGTTTTCTTCTTTTTTTATTTTAAACTTAAACAAAGAATTTTTTAAAAGGAAAGGGAGGGAAAAAATTATAATCACATACATTCCTCCTCCTATCTAGAGTTAACCACTGTTAATATCCTCACATATTTGTTTATAGTGTTTATTTTTAGAACAAAACTCTCCATTGTTATAAATAACAATACAGAAATGTAGAAAGACAATAACTATTAAAAATTACTGCAAATCCAGGGCACCTGGGTGGCTCAGTCGGTTAAGCGTCCGACTTTGGCTCAGGTCATGATCTCACGGTTCGTGAGTTCGAGCCTCGCATCGGGCTCTGTGCTGACAGCTCAGAGCCTGGAGCCTGCTTCAGATTCTGTGTCTTCCTCTCTCTCTGCCCCTCCCCTGTTCATGCTCTGTCTTTCTCTGTCTCAAAAATAAATAAAAAACATTAAAAAAATTAAAAAAAAATTACTGCAAATCCAAAATTAACTAAAATGATCATTAAAATACTAAGCTATCATTACAGATATCTCTGTATGTACTTAGACAAATAGAATGACAGAGAAGAAATTTAGAAAAAAATAAGACCATGCTATATATGCCATTTTTCATAGTATTAAATTAAACTATACTTCAAAGTAATAAAAGAAAATCAGGCTGAAGTAGTTTTGAACTTCAAGCACAGCTGATCCTTGAACAAGGGGTTAAGAGCACCAACCCACCATGCAGTTAAAAATCCCATGTATAACATGTGACTACCCAAAAACTTAACTACTAATAGCCTACTGTTGACGGAGATCCTCAATAACACAGTGAACTAACATATTTTATAGGTTATGCATATTATATGCTGTACTTTTACAATACAGTAAGCTAGAGAAAAGAAATGTTAATAAAATCATAAGGAAAAGAAAATACATTCATAGTACTACACTTTTTTTCAATCCCACAAGTTTATGTCATCTGTTTATAAAATAAATCATCTGTCAGTACCTGTCAATATTATCTTATGTGATACAAAACACTATAGATATTATATACATATTACTAACATGACATCAAAAATAAAAACATAATATGAAAATGAAATTAATATTTACATACAGGTACAACAATTCATGCATTGATAATGAAGTGGCAATATGCTTGCTTTATGGTAGCCTAGTGTAATCAATACAGTTGCTTCACAGTAGCCTAGCCTATACACTAATGGATTAATCCCTATAAAATTTTTATGAGATCCAGTATTACAGTTATATTCACAATGCAATATTGGAAATAGTTAAATTTTTTTAAAAATATCACTTACCTGTTTTAATAAGCTGATATGCAGTTGCTCCAATTACAAGAGAAAAAGGTATACTGTATGGTAATGTAACTCTTTGAAAGCAAAATTATAAAGAAGCTAACAAATTATTAATTTTATATTAAATAGTACTCACCTTATGCCTATGTAATGATAGGCTATCAACTTCCATACAAGTCTTGCACATGATGTTCTACACAATGACTACTTAGGCAATGATGATGATAATGACACAAAAATGCTCATATATTTCTTGCTGTACAGTTCAAAGATTTTCACACAAAGAGACATGTAGGTATACAACAGATAAGTTTATTAATTGTACAGTAGGATAATTATTTACTAAGTGGAAGTGGACCATCATAAAGGTCTTCATCTCATCATCTTCACGTTAAATACGCTAAGGAGGAAGAGGAGGGGCTCAGGGGTGATAGCAACAGAAGAGGTGGACGAGGTAATAGAGGTAGAAGGGGAGGCAGGAGAGGCAACACACTGAGTGTAACTTTATGGAATATATCATAACTTCTGTCTGGCTTGTTTTTTCATTTCTCTAAAAAGGTTTCTATATTGTACCAATATTTCTTCCAACATTTGCTTTAGTTACAGTGCCCATACCATAGAAGGGTCCACATCATAAAAGAAGTCAAAAGCTGTCTTGAACAATTAGAATGCTTCTGCCAGATTGTCTAATGTCAATGTATTTCCTAGCACTGCTTCAATCATCTGGCACTGGTTCAGAAGCATTCCTCTCCATCAAGCACTCTTCTATTAATTCCTCTCATGGGGCATCTATTAGCTCTTGAATTCCTCCAAGATCCACATCCTGAAACCTTTCACACTAACCATTTTTGCCATAACCACAATCTCTGTCATCATTTCCTTGACTGTCTCTGTCATAAATCCTATGAAGTCATGTACAACATCTGGACACAGTTTTCTCCAGCAGAAATTTATTCTTCCAGGCTTGACTGTTTTCATGGCTTTTTCTGTCACAATAGTGGCATCTTCAATGGTGTTATCATTCTTGATTTTCAGATGTTTTTTCTGCTGGGGTTCTCTTGGTGGTGTAGACAATCTTTTCTACAGAGTACCATGTGTAATGAGCCTTCAAAGTCCTTAATGACCCCCTGATCTAGAGGCTGAATTAGAGACAGTGTTTGGGGGCAACATTTTGATGCCTTGGGTTCTGGGTAGCCAGGGACATTGCCCAACATCGAAAGAACTTTAAAAGGCAGTACCTTACTGGCAAGGTACTTCCTGACCTCAGGGACAAAGCATCGGTGATCCAGAAATGGGCTCTTGTTTCCAGGACCTCCTGTTGTACAGCCAAAAAACTGGCTGCTGGTATTTATCTTTTCCCCTTGAGGGTGGGGATTAGCAGCTTTATAGAGAACAGCAATCCTGATCACAATGTATTTGCACAGTAGAGTTAGCCTATTCCTTTGTGCCTTAAATCTGGTGCTCATTTCTCTTTCTTACTAATAAATGTCCTTTGTGGCTTTTTTTTTTTCCAGAATGCACTTTCCTCTGCATTAGAAACCAGTTCAGGCAGATATTCTTTGTCAGTATTTTTCTTAATGGTGTCTGGGAACTTGTCTTCAGTCTTGGATCAGCAGAAGCTACTTCTCCTGTTATTCTAACATTTTTAAAGCCCAACTTCTTTCTAAAATTATCAAACCATCCTTTGCTGGCATTAAATTCTCCAGATTTCTGTCTTTCACCTTCCATTTACTTTGCCATATGATGACTTCAATTTTCCTCGAGTCATATCAGTCTACAGGTATGCATTTCTTAGAGCAATCCTACACCCACATAAAAGCTGCATCTTCAGATAAAAGGTATTCTGCAAAAAGTACAAGGTTTTCACACTTGCTGAATAGCTGCAGTAACAGCTTTACAATTTTTTTCTTTTTCTTTTTTTTCTTTTTTTTTTTACAACAGTCCTTATGCTAGATTCATTTATCTTGAAATGCTGGGCAACTGCAGCTGCAGACCTCAATCTATAGCATTTATCAAGCAATTCAACTTTTTCCTGTACTCTCCTGAATATTCCCCAATTCTTGGGAGCACTTTCCAGAATCACTAGTGGTGCTTTGTAGGAGTCCTATGATGTTTTTCAAGGTGTACAGTATTGCACTAAACACAGTGAAAAATATGCAAGAACCCCAAGAGATCACTTTTTACTATGATACACAATTTACTAGAAAGATAAAATGTTCACATGGAGATGATTAGCATTTTAACTAGATACTTGCTATAATTAAACTCACAATAGCAATAGGATAGCTAGGAAATCATTATTAGAGTAGTATAGTAGTACAGCAGTTAATTTTCCGCAGTTACTATTTAATACCACATCTTTATGTTTGTTTACATTTCTCTCGACTGTGAATGGCACCACATATGGTCTGTAAGTGTTGAAGTTTTAATAAATTTTAACTTCTTATACTACATTTGTGTATATTTTATAGTAGTAAGTGATAAAATAGACTAGTATCTACATATATGTTATACATTCATGACATACCTTTTTCTTTATCTTTTCAATATTTCTAAGCTATGTGGTTCATCTGAAAGTTTTTTCAAGTTATTGCAAATCTCCAAAAAAATTTCAATATATTTGATGAAAAAAAATCCATGTGTAAGTGGACCCACACAGTTCAAATTGTGTTAAGGGTCAAATGTATTTCTTTACAGGTGCTATTTCCTAAAAAGGACACAGTAGAGGGGTTTGGGTGGCTCAGTCAGTTAAGCGTCTTTTTTAATTTTTTAAATATTTATTTAGAGAGATCACAAGTGGGGGAGGGGCAGAGAGAAGGAGAGACAGAATCCCAAGCAGCCTCCACATCATCAACGCAGAGCCCAATGCAGGGCTTGAACTCACCAACAGTGAGATCATGACCTGGGCTGAGATCAAGAGTCAGACATTTAACCAACTGTGCCACCTAGGCACCCCAGGCATCCAGCTCTTTGATTGTGACTCAAGTCATGAGATTAAGCCCCATGTGGGTCTCCATGCTGGGTGTGGAGCCCACTTGAGATTCTCTCTTTCCTGCTCTCTAGCCCTCACTTTCTTTCTTTCTTTTTTTTTTTTTAAAGACGTGGGGGAGTATAAAACATGAAGCAGGAGTAGTCATTATGCTTTCTTATTTTTTCAACTATGTCTCAATTTTAGATATTTTCTATTGATTGAGAGCATTATTTTCATCCCTTCTCCAATCTCCCCTGTCTCCATGTCTATATTATATACTATTACTTTTATTTTGTCCAGGTTGATAACATTTATATCCAGTTCTATAAACAATTTGAATAGCTGTTTAAGATTAGTTCTGCATTTAAATGGATTCAATGCTCATCACCAATTCTTTTGTGAAACTTCTCTGTTCCTGAATTTTTAATCCTGATTTACTCTTAATTGGCTAAGACTTACTGTGAAGTGGTTTTTTTTCCAGATGAACTCCCAGGTCTTGAATTTCTTGAGTTTTTTCACATGTGAGAATACCTACCAGCTGCCTTTAATTAGAACAATTATCTTGGGCTGCTAAGTATTCCAGGCCACACTTTCTTCCCTCAGAACCTTGTAGACATTACATGAAATGTTGCTGTAGAAAACAGAAAAGCTAGACTTCTCCCCTTGAATATAATTTTTCTGCCTAAAGAATTCTTTACCCTCTATGTTCCAAGTTTTCCTAAAACATGGTATAACATTCAATCTGCCAACTCAATTCTCTTTTCAGAAGAATTCTCTTTGGGGGCGCCTGGGTGGCTCAGTTGGTTCAGCATCCGACTTCCGCTCGGGTCACGATCTCACAGCTTATGAGTTCGAGCCCTGCATGGGGCTCTGTGGTGACAGCTCAGAGCCTGGAGCCTGCTTCAGATTCTGTGCCTCCCTCTCTCTCTGCCCCAACCCACTCACTTTCTATCTCTGTCTCTCTCAAAAATAATAAACATTTTAAAAAATTTAAAAAAGAAGAATTCTCTTTGAATATATTTGCTGTTTCACTGTTGGGTCATCTTTGACGGTCTTCCCTTACCACTGGCTTGTCTGTGATTACCTCAAGTCTTTAATGTCTACAATTTTCAATGATGTCTATTCTGTTCCTTGCTTTTGTCTAATTTATTAGTTTCACTGATCTTAAGTTTGTTTCCTTAGTTCTGCAATATCCTTTTCCATCTCATTCTGCTGTTTTATCATCTTATCTTTAAGTATTATTTTACCAAATAATATTGTTATTAACTTGCTCCATAGCAGCACTGTCCAAAAAGAGCTTTCTAAGATAACAAAAATGTTATATGTATGCACTATCAACGTAGTATCCACTAGCCATGTATGGCTATTAGGCACTTGAAACAAGCCTAGTGTAACTGAAGAACTGAATTTTCTATTTTAATTGATTTAAATGTAAATAGTCTCTTAGGACCTGTAGCTACTATACAAAACAGTACAGTTCCACAATTTAGAGAAACTGAAGAGAATTTTCTTTCTTGCATTGAGTTATGTTTTTCTTCTAGACCTGTCTTTGCATGCTAGGTTCTTTTGTTGTTTTTGCAGTAGTGTTCGTATAGTTGTCATATCATTTCTTTTCATTTTCATCATGCTTGAATTGCTCTGTCCATGTTAGATGCTCTGATATAACATATTGACTCTTCCTCCCAGTATCTGATCTGTTCATTTTTTCCTCAGAAAAAGACAGGCTTTTCTGTAGCCAAGAGGAAGACAGAGGTGGATAGTTGGTTTCAGCTGAAAGAATATGCAATATTTGTTGGAATTCCTAGACTGTAATAGACTTTTGTCCATTATTCTATATATGATTTAGGGGCTCCTGGGTGGCTCAGTCAGTTAAGCATCCAACTCTTGGTTTCAGCTCAGCTCATCATCTCCCAGTTCATGGGTTTGAGGCCCCAAGTCAGGCTCTGCGTGGACAGCTGCAGAGCCTGCTTGGGATTCTCTGCCTCCTTCTCTCTGCCCCTCCCCTACTGTCTATCTCTCCCTCTAAAAAATGAATAAATAAGTATTAATAAGGGGGTGC